TTGATTCCTGATCTCAAAATCCATCTAAAAATGCTTGAACAGCCAGCTGCTCCCTGACATTTTCCGGCGTTCCTCGATATGCAAGATGAGATATTCTTGCAAATTCTCGTTCGGTTTCTGACATCGGTTTTTCAGCTGAGAGTAATACACATGTTCCAAATGGGTTTGGCCATACCTCATTTCCAGGTGTTTTACCAATGAAGCGTAGTCTTCTCTTTTCTGGCTGCTCAAAGTCTGTAAAATATCTGTTGCCTCACCACGAAGTGTCATTGTGAGCGCCAGTGCCTTCTCCGCTGCAGGCCAACCATTTGCTCTCACTGCTGCCTCAAACTGGCAGTGATAATTATTCCAAGAAGACTTTTCACACCAAACTGTGGAGCTTTCATGTGAAGTCTGATCGTCTCCGTTTCCATCTGAGTATTAGAACTATTTTTCTGTAATTCTCTAGTTCTCCCGACGTCTAATCTAGTTATTGTTGCGGTTCCTGGTGTCTAAATTACTGCAAATTGTTGTCTCATTTCATTTATTTCCCTTCGCATCTCATCCTCAAAGTTTATTATCTTATCTCCCAGATTTACCATATTCTTCCTTCAAAATAGCTACAGGTTCCTGTTAGTTGATCCCTTATTTTTCTTGAATTCTCATCTAATCGCTCTTCTAATTGCTCTTGTAGGTTTCTAGAACTCTCTTCCAATTTATTGGTTAAATTTGTCTGCAATTGTTCCATAAATGAATTTATATCGACAAATCCAGGAATTTTCAAACGTAAAAATATCAGGATCTTCAGGGGCGCCGATTACGTGGGTGCTCGGGGGCTCGAGCACCCACGGGACGTTAACAGTGGGTGCGAAGCACCCACGAGCATAGACATAAAAACTGATAATCTCTAAATCCTGGAAAACTGGTTAATTTTGTACCTCGGGTTCCTGAAATCTGGTTAACCAAATGTCAAAATAGTTACCGGCCATCGGATGTCGGTTCTGTTGGTTTTATCTGTAACTTCTGTCAATTATGTTTTATTTCCATATTTGCGTTCCCCAAAGTAACCGGAATTTTCAGTAAACATCTGTTGACCGATTCGGTTACTTTAGCTCTGTTCCAACAGACATGAAATTCTTTCTAGAACGGTAATTTCTAGTCGATCAATTCATTTGTAAGTTAGGAAAAACGTTCAACTTATTGAAAAATAGGTGGGCAACTGGAAATTATTGGTTCTGGAACGGTTCTCATGTCTGTTGGAACAGAGCTAATGGTTAACTTTTGGTTATATTTGGACCATAGCCTTATATAGGTTATGTTCCGATATCAACTCTGTCAGTACTGAATTTACTGGACGCCGTTCCAATATTATTTTCAGTATACTGGATTCAGTCGATTCAGTACTGAATGACCACAAGAGTACGCTGTTGAAATTGGAACGGCAAATGACAGTAAAATCAGCACAGTAAGTCCAGTACTGGCAGTTGATATCGGAACATGGTGGTACTTTGTTAAGAAGAAGAAGATGATGAAGAAAATCAGAAATCTTTTATGGAGAACAGCGTGAAACGCAAATTTTCGGACATGCTGCTTGGAAAAGAATATCTGCAGGAGAGTTTTCCACACTTTACAGTAGACTGTTTTCACAGCTATCAGACAATACCCACCTCTACCACGTAAAAACCCCCCTCCAGCACAGCCATCATACCACTACTCACCTCCACTGTACCCCCTTCCGTGAAGCTCCTACCCTGAGGAGGCACTTTTTACCCACCTCCACTGTAAACCCTCTTCCGTAAAGCCCTCCATTAATCTATTTTCAAAAGGCTCCTACCCTGAGATGGCACTTTATTAAATCCCTTCACTTTCTTGAAAACTAAATAATATTTAACCAATTCTTCCATTTGTATTCGTCAATTTTGGGGTTGGCCCGGGTCAAATCCCCAAAATTTCAGATCAAAAGCGTCGCCGATCTAGAGATTTTCCCACGGTATCGAAAAACTTCCCAGGCTCAAGTGCCCCCGGCTATCAGACCAATACCCACCTCTACTACGTAAGTGGTCCACCAGATTCACAAGCAAAATGTTATTATTGCAATAAAATTAATCTCATGGAGTTTAGAACACTATTGACGTATACAAATGCAGGAATTGTTGAAATATTCTTTAGCTTTCAAGAAAGTGAAGGGATATGGAAAGAGGTACCTCTTCAGAGTAGAAACTTTTTGACGTAGTGGAGGTGGGTATTGCTCTGATAGCTGTGAGGTGGGTATTGGTCATAAACAGGTGCATTAATTTTATTGCAATAATAAATATTTTGCTTGTGAATCTGCTAGTCTGATAGCTGGGGGCACTTGAGCCTGGGAAGTTTTTCGATACCGTGGGAAAATCTCTAGATCGGCGGCGCTTTTGATTTGTAATTTTGGGGATTTGACCCGGGCCAACCCCAAAATTGACGAATACAAATGGAAGAATTGGTTAAATATTATTTAGTTTTCTAGAAAGTGGAGGGATATAAAAAAGTGCAATCTCAGGGTAGGAGCCTCTTGAAAATAGATTAATGGAGGGCTTTACGGAAAAGGGGTTTACTTACAGTGGAGGTGGGTAAAAAGTGCCTCCTCAGGGTAGGAACTTAACGGAAGGGGGTTTACAGTGGAGGTGGGTAGTGGTATGATGGCTATGCTGGAGGGGGCTTTTATATACTAGAAGTGGGTATTGTTCTGATAGCTGTGAAAACACTTTAATCAGAGCCGCATGAAGTCTCTGTTGTAACACGGTCTTTCTTCCACTTGTATCCATCTCGTGCTCCTCCAGCTCTCTTCTAAAATCCGCTAATTTCAATTCACATCAATGAATACCATTTCCCATTCAATTGTATCTTTCCCTCTTGTATTATTCTGACAACATTCTGGATATTTTATGACGACACCTATAACAAATAATCAAGTTTTCATTAGCATGGAATGTCATTTCGCTAGTATCACCAAGTTCTAATTGTTTAATTTCAAGTTTCATCTCCTCATCGAATATCCTTGATTTCACAAAATCCATTTCGAGGCTTTGTATTCATAGTTTCTATGGCTTTTATGACATATTCTCCATTCACAGACACCAACAAATGGCAAACTTTGTCTTCTTCATCCAGTTTGGAACCTGCATTTCCCAAATCTCTTATCAGGGTGTCAAATATACCTACTCATCTAATTTTCTGGTGATTTGAGCCCATAACCTAATGCAGTTGTTTAATTCAACGATTGTGGAAATAGATTGGGAATACAGTAAACCCCTTTTTCTTGTTGAGCAACTTCTTTATATTTATAAATTGACAAAGTAACAAACTGACATACTTCTGTTGTTGTCAATCATACAACATAACTTAAAGATTCTTCTTCCTTATCAGCTTTTCTGGGTTCAGAGTTAAACATCAACTTGGCGACACCTTTTACTACAAAAACCATTATAAACTCCAACCGTTATATTATATGGCCGAAAAAACACTTTATAACGTACTTAAATTTTGCTAAGCTACCTACTTAATCCACTAAACAAACCTATAAAAGCTCAAACTTTATATTATAGAAAACACATCTCGATGTAAAGACCCATCAAACTTAAACAGATAATTAACAATTTATTACAACAAACCATTTGTGGTTTAATTTTCAGGTTGGATTGTCATAATCACAAGTGCACTCGCTAATTATAATATAAATGCATTGTGCATTTTTTAAAATCCAAACCCATCTCTGCTGAGCTTATCCGTAACAGTCATGGTTGTCAATCAGTATTTATGCTGTTTTATTGGGGATTTATTTGGAACTAAAAATTCCTCTAGAAGATTTTGTATAGTCGACCGAAATAGAAAAACAGTTTAGCCATGCAAGCATAGGTTGCTCGGGGAAAAAAAAAAGAGTCCGTTGTCCGAGAACTCGTTTCTGACGGACAACCAAGATGCCAGAAAAGCAGTGAATAATAGATGCTAATGATATGACCAACTACCTTCTCCTTTGGCTTCTCTCTCTCCTTCGTCTCTCATCTTTCGATAAAATTTAAATTGTTCATCGATAGATACAAGATTCCTCATATTCATGCGCATACATTTAACATTTAACCGACAAGAAATAATTGTTACATCGAAAAAAAAAAACGAAACACCAGGCCTTCCTGGTACACCAATGGTCACCGATTCTATGCTAATACCCGAACCCAATAAATATTACTTTAAATTCCTGCGTAAATTTCACCGTGGGCGCCTAGCAAAGTTTTATGATTCCAATGGCATGTTGGTATTCCATAAAAAGAAATGTCATTGTCGAATGAGCGCTTGGTAAGCACCTACACCTCAGTATTATGGATGTTGGTAAATTAAAATAATGCTCCTTACCAACTAAAGGAGCGGCCCTATATTAATTACGAAAAATCCTAGAATCATAGTTCCTAGAACCTCTAATCGGCTCATCTCGTGGCATTAGATTCTATAGATGCTCAGATACCAATCCAAGACTGAAAAAAAAAATCCCAATCCAATAGATTTATGGCTGAAACAGGCTCGAACTGACACGGCCATAAATAATGTTTATGTTCCTTTCGATTAGAAGTCGCAAGTGATTCTGCGATCATGTGGCAACCGCGCGCTGCACCGCTCCACACGCTACAGGTACCACCATTAGAAGAATTGCGATGGTGCCACCAGAACCATAACTAAGAAGTTCTTTGACTAAATTCAAAAATCACTTTGCACTTTGTCCCTGTTTGCTTGATTGTTTTTATTGAGAAAATATTAAAATTGTTTTTTAGTCCATATTACATATCTTTTGTAGAACCAAAATTTGTTCTTCTGCATAAATATTCAGCTAACATTTTGTCCATTGACAAAATTGTATATTGGTACAGGTACGTATATTCCTCAGGTATGATCGGGCAACAACGCAAGGTTCAGTAAAACGCAAGAACCGCCACCTCCCATCTGCTGAAGAAATTGGTACTCCTTCAGTCAACATCATCGGTTCGCGAGAGTACCATCGAGGTACGGCCGGTACCCATACCTAAAGAACCACGGTGACCGGGACATATGTATATAACCTAGCTCAGAATTCGTACCATCGAGTGCAACCTGGTGAACTTTAGAGCGCAAATATTTTCTGGATTTAACTCCTAGTGACTATTTTTGTTGTTGTTGAAAGATGCTGCGGACGGTGTGTTTATAAAACCGGAGTTCTTCGATCTCTTGAGACTCGCGCTTCGGCCATATTGCATACCAGAGTGGCGCGAGATGGATGTATACATTTTAGTGTAGGTCGAAAAGAGATAGGCATAGACCAGGAGTTTGTTTAAGATATTTTTGAAGGGGCAAGGGACTGTGGCTGGGAGGAATGCTAGATTCCAAAACAGAAACACGGAAACACGTGGATTCATTTTTTTATTATTATGATAAGATAGTATTTTGAAAAAAATTAAAATGTTGATTATTAGAGCCTCAACATTTTTTCTGCTCCTTATCCTTGTTGGTGCCCAAGGTCCTGGTCCTGGACCTGGAACGCATCGAAGGCAAATTCTGGATCCCGAGCAGATGCAAAGCAGAGCTGTAGATACAAGAGTCACCTTTGAAATTCTGGAAGGGCAACCTAAAGGTACTTTGGCTGGCAGAATCCCTATTAAACCAGGATTCACGTATAGGTTCAATGAAGCTCCTCGAGAGTTTGTTCTGGATTCAGATACTGGTGAAATCAAAACCAATATTATTCTGGATAGGGAGACTTTAAAAAATGACCGTTACGATTTGGTTGTGTTGTCCAGTCAACCGACTTATCCGATAGAAGTGAGGATTTTGGTGATGGATATCAACGACAATTCGCCTGAATTTCCCGAGTTGAGCATTGCGATTAGTTTTTCGGAAAGTGCGGTGGCGGGTACCAGGCTACTTTTGGACGCAGCTACCGACAAGGATATCGGCGCGAACGGTATCAGTGATAAATATCGAATAATTGCCGGTAACGAGAACAAAAAATTTCGATTGGTGGTCACGACGAATCCTACCGGGGATTCGTCGTATTTACATCTGGAGACTACCGGGAAATTGGATAGGGAAACTCAGGGATTTTATACGCTTAATGTTAGTGCTCAGGACGGGGGAACACCAGCGAGGTAAGTCGAATTTTGGAATTTGGTTTTGGTAAAAGAAATTCCTATGCGTGTCCTAGTGTCCATTGAATTTGAGTTCAGTATACTCAAGAAATGACACTGAACACAGAACATTTTTACCAGTTACTGACTTGTAAAATTTCCAGCTACTGTAATTATTATGTGCACTATATTTGAAAGAATATCATGAATTATCTTAAGGTTAAAATAGTACGGTTATTCAGATGTAGGTAATAATCTCTTCATTTGGTCTACTTATTTATTCTCGTAAATTGTATTGACAGATGTCGAGTTTCTTGAATTGAGTTTCAAATTTGAGCCTCAATATCTTCAGAAGTGTTTGAGATTGAGAATTGAATCTTGTTTTATCTTGAAGATAATTTAATTCTGATTCAGAATATATAACTATGCATCATATTTTATGCAATAATAACCAAGTAATGAGTGATTTTGTAAGACAATGTCAGATAATTGCAATTTTCTGAGCCCAAAAATTCCAAAATTCGATTTTATTTTTTTACAAGCCCTTAAAACCCAATAAGAAAAGTTGCAAATATGCTTTTCCACTAAATTTGACCTCCTCTTTCGATTAATAAAGTCAAAAATTGCAAAATCCGAAAATTTCAAAATTCGAATTTTTCAAAAACTCAAAAATTACAAAATTCGATTTAATTTTTTACAAGCCCTAAAAACTCAAACAGCGAAGTTGCAAAAATGCTTTTCCACTAAATTTGATTTCCTCTTTCGATTGGTAAAGTCAAAAATTGCAAAATCTGAAAATTGGAAAATTCGAATTTTTCCAAAGGGGTATGCATGGAAATTTGATTTTCAAATATTTTAAAGGGCTCTATTTTGGAAACCAGTAAAGCTAGTGACATCAATGTTTCGCCCAATTGTAGCTCTGGATAAGGGCTAGAAAAAAGGTTATTTGAGACTCCGAGCCCAAGGGCTTCGTTTTCGAAAAAAATCGGCTTTGAAGCTTTTGCAAAATTTTAAACAAAGTTTTAACTTTGAGCCTCAATATCTTCGGGAGTATTTGAGATAGAGAATTAAATCTTGTTTTATCTTGAAGATAATTCAATTCTGATTCAGAATATATAATTATACATCATATTATATGCAATAATAACCAAGTAATGAGTGGTTTTGTAAGACAATGTCAGATAATTGAAATTTTCTGAGCCCAAAAATTCCAAAATTCGGTTTAATTGTTTACAAGCCCTAAAAACTCAAACAGAGAAGTTGCATACATGCTTTTCCACTAAATTTGACCTCCTCTTTCGATTGGTAAAGTCAAAAACTGCAAAATCTGAAAATTTGAAAATTCGAATTTTTCCAAAGGGGTATGTATGTATGGAAATTTGATTTTCAAATATTTCAAAGGGCTGTATTTTAGAAACCAGTAAAGCTAGTGACATCAATCTTTCGCCCAATTGTAGATCTGGATAAGGGCTACAAAAAAGGTTATTTGAGACTCCGAGCCCAAGGGCTTCGTTTTCGACAAAAATCGGCTTTGAAGCTTTTGCAAAATTTTAAACAAAGTTTCAACTTTGAGCCTCAATATCTTCAAAAGTATTTGAGATAGATGATTGAATCTTGTTTTATCTTAAAGATAATTAAATTCTGATTCAGAATATATAACTATGTATCACAATTTCTGCAGTAATAAATGAGATCTGAGCGATTTTGTGAGACAGTGCCAGATAATTGAAATTTTCTGAACTCAAAAATTACAAAATTCGATTTAATTTTTTACAAGCCCTAAAAGCTCAAACAGAGAAATTGCAAAAATGCTTTTCCACTAAATTTGATTTCCTCTTTCGATTGGTAAAGTCAAAAATTGCAAAATCCGAAAATTTCAAAATTCGAATTTTTCCAAAGGGGAACGCATGGAAATTTGATTTTCAAATATTTCAAAGGGCTGTATTTTGGGAACCAGTAAAGCTATTGACATGAATCTTTCGCCCAATTGTAGCTCTTGCTAAGGGCTACAAAAAAGTTCATTTAAGGCTCCGAGCCCAAGGACTTCGTTCTCGAGAAAATCGGCTTTGAAGCTTTTGCAAAATTTTAGACAAAGTTTCAACTTTGAGCCTCAATATCTTCAGAAGTATTTGAGATAGAGAATTGAATCTTATTTTATCTTGAAGATAATTTAATTCTGATTCAGAATATATAATTATACATCATATTTTATGCAATAATAACCGAATAAAATGTAAGACAATGTCAGATTATTGAAATTTTCTGTGCCCAAAAATTGCAAAATTCGATTTTATTTTCTTAGAAGCCCTGAAAACCCAAAAGGAAAAGCTGCAAAAATGCTTTTCCATTAAATTCGACCTCCTCTTTCGATTGGTAAAGTCGAAAATTGCAAAATCTAAAAATTTAAAAATTCGAATTTTTCCAAATTTAAAGCTTTTGCAAAATTTTTGACAAAGCTTCAACTTTGAGCCTCAATAATGAGATGTGTGTATCCAGTTTCTCATACAATTGCTCTCTGGATGATTTATTATGCCATATAGGAATTTATTGATCAGCTGTTCTATAAAAATGTTATTTCCATTGTTACCAGGTTGCTAGATGTATCTTATCGGCTTTTTTTCGTTCTATTTTACCATCCAACAACTTTTCAATTTTCAGACCTTTCAAATTACTTATACCTAATTTCCAAGTTTGATTCATCACTCTTCTTCATTCTCTTGCATATTTCTAATCTCCTCTAACAACTGGTTTCAGAAATATATTATCTAAGGTTCAGTTTATTCATCTTCTGATAAACTGTCAGATACTGCAATCAGAAAAAAATAAAAAAGCAATCTATAACCCTATTGGTCAGTTACTTAGTTATTCGCCAAATTGGTAAATTTATTCTAAAGAAAGTGACCAATATGTTTATCTAAAGGTGGATAAACCGGGCTTAAGTCTCAGTCTTCAAATATTGCCTTCTCTCAGCCCTATGGCTACAGGCCTGCCCATCTTGGTATCAATTTTCAGGTTACGTCAATTTGCACTTGGTGAATCCGTATTCTTTCTTCTTCTTTATCTTCTTATTTTTAAGCCTGTCCATTTTTTGGATAGAGACTTTTCCCAATTCTCACCAGCGAACTTTCAAACTACGATTCCTAATCATTTTAAAGTTACTCTCACATAGAGCAGTTCGAGAAGTATCTTCATTTTGTTAAAAATTCAACTGAGATAAATGAAAATCCTACTTCAGGCTCTTTTAGAGTGGTAGTAACTCTAATTACTGACAATTTTAGTGGCAAATCTGAGCTATGGCAGTTTGAAACGTCAATTTTGTCCTTCAAACATGACATCTTGTTCGAACCTGCCCATACTTCATGCACTGTTTGGTTGCTTTCAGCTGGTTTCAGCATTTAGGTAGATGGTAGGAAAAAGTCAGCAAATTTAGTCAGCATTCGTGCATATCACCAGCAAAAAACTCTCTGAAATCAGTAAAAACGATTTTACCTACGACCACAATCATTAAAAATTGATATTATCACACGTATCTTCAATTTAACGCATATAGCGGGCGTAATGGTAAAGTAATTCGCACGGGCATAGACCAATCACAAGTCAATGATAAACTTCGTATGATAAATATTGTATACCAAATTGTTCACTCTAAATCTTGAACTTAAACTTTCGTTGGTTATTTTGCTGTTACTTCACTTCACTTATGCAAACTGTGAACCGAGAGTAGACAACAATGAAAAGTAGACATTGGAAATAGAAAATTAACATCAAGTGTGGCCGTGGGTAAAATACATAATATAGTACATACATATTTCGTGCTTTTGTAATTTCTCCATTCGTACGAGATTTGCTTCTTACACCACTCATCACTGGCTAATAATATAAAATACTATATTCAGCTCTATCTGAAGCTATACATACATAAAATGAATATAACCTTCAGTATCACTATTATCAAGCTTTACCTCATATTCAGGTACGGCTATCTACAAGTGAACGTCACAATACTGGACGTCAACGACAACCCACCAATTTTCGACCACAGCGACTACATAGTCAGCCTCAACGAAAGCGTACCACCCGGTACCCCGGTACTACAAGTGATGGCGACTGATAACGATTTAGGCGACAACGCCAAAATCACCTACTACCTAAACGACAACGAAAGACAGTTCACTGTAGATCCAGAAACTGGCACGATATCCACTACAGAGCCGTTGCATTGTCCGCAGCAAAATTGTTTGCAGCCAACGAAACCTGGAGCTAGTTGTCCTAAGAGTTGCGTTTTTACTGTGTTTGCCAGGGACCATGGGGTACCTAGGCAAGATGGCAGGACTTATGTGACAGTTAATTTATTAGATGCAAACGATCATAGTCCAGTGATTAAGTTTCGACATTTTCCTGCTACAGCTGGTTTTGCTACTGTAGACGAAAATGCTGGCAATGGGTCTGTAGTGGCGGCTGTATCTGTTGTCGATCAAGATGATGGTTTGAATGGTTAGTATTTATTATCAGCCTATAATGCCTACTGACACATGATAATTTTAGGTGAAACAACAGTAAAAATTGTAGCTGGTAATGAGCTAAACAATTTTCGTTTAGACTACACTCCAAGTTTCGATATAGTCCGTGTAAATGGTGTGTTGGACAGAGAAGAAATATCAAAGTATAATTTAACAGTTGTTGCAACCGACAAAGGCAATCCTCCAAGAACGGCTACTGCTTTTTTGATTATTCACGTGAACGATGTTAACGATCACGAGCCTGTTTTTGAAAAAAGTGAATATTCGGCAATATTAAGCGAACTGGCACCTCCAGGTACTTACGTAGCTGGAATCACAGCTACAGATGAAGACACTGGCGTAAATGCGCAAATATATTACGCTTTTGTGTCTGGAAATGAAAATCAATGGTTTCAAATTAATCAGGATTCTGGATTGATAACTACCCAAGCGTCTTTGGACAGGGAGATTCAAGGCACAGTTGAATTGAATATTTCGGCCAGAGACGGAGGTCCCAACCCGAAATGGGCTTACACTCAATTGAAAGTTACCATATTGGATGAAAACGATGATTCACCAGAGTTTTCACAATCGAAAATTAATGTTTCTTTATCTGAAAGTACTTTGCCTGGAACCTTGGTGGCTATGTTGACTGCTTCTGATAGAGATCAAGGGACTAATGGCAGTGTAGCTTACTCTTTGCATGCAAATGTTAAACAAAAATATGACGACACGTTTTTTCTTGATGCTTTAACTGGTCAGTTGACTACTAAAAAGAAACTGGACAGAGAAGAAGTTTCAATGTATGAGATCCAAGTCGTTGCTAGAGATCAAGGGATTCCTCCTCAAAGCAGCACTGCAACAGTATTTTTAAATGTCTTAGACGAAAACGATAACGCACCAGAGTTTTACCCTTTAAAATACTTCACCAAAATCGCTGATGATTTGAAGGCAGGCTCCTCAGTACTAAAAGTAACCGCAAACGATTTGGACGAAGGCGAAAACTCAGTCGTCACTTATAAAATCGAGGAACAATCTGACAATTTGTTTTCCATCGACGAATACACTGGGGTAGTGACGTTGAGGGGTAGCTTGAAGTCCAGCTCGAAGCCGATTTATAGATTGCAAATATCCGCCAAGGATAATGGGGACAAACGAGCTACCGAGGATGCCATAGTTGAGATTATCAAAGACAGTTACATGGAGGAGCTAAGCTTCGATCATTACGGCGATTATGAGTTTCAGTTATTGGAAGATCACGGTAAGAATTTTGCTTTCTGGTAGGTGTTTGTGTATTGTACAACAAGTGTTAGAAATTTTAGTTTTAGATATTCAATCCATGTTATGGTGAAATGATGGGTTTCTGATCCCAGATGCTGGTCTGGTGCATCATATTCTTTGTTATTCAAGATCCATATTCTTTTTTGTCTTGGGGTGGGGGTGTTGCGTTGCATGGGATTGGCTGATTTATGGTGTGGGCGGAGCTTGTGGAAAGTATCGCCGAAACGCATAAAAACAGCCGTTTTCAGGCCAAAGCAGTCAGTTCGAGTGACTGAAACTTCATCTCGCCTGTCTGCCCCGTTCTCTAGGCTAGAGACAAGAACAGCTCTCCCCTCATTTGTTTGAAAGAAGTGCCGTGACATGTACCTAGCACTTAGGAGCGCGTACTAGACTGGCAACGCTTTGTTGTGGGTCCCCTTGCCTTAGGGATCACTTTATGTGGCCGGTAGCCGAGTCTCGCATTGCGTTGTCGGTGCAAGCTACCTTCTTAGGTACGAATAAAGAAACGAGAGAGCCAACGTTACAATCCGTCGGGCGTAAAATAAGGCTTCCGGAAAAGCCTAGTTCGTCGCAAGGAAACTCGCATCAATCCTCGCACTGGAGGTTGATGTTGAGTATTTTCTGTTATTCGTAATCATGGCACTAACTTCTCTAGGAAGTTCTTCATCTGGTCTTCTTGGCATTGGCCTTGTTACTGTACTTGCGCTTCAAAAACACAAGATATTTCTTCAACCGTTTCCGACTGCTCAGAGTTATGGATCACTGGGATGTTATCGCATCTAAAAGCTTTCGCTGGTACCTGTTTCATTAGAAATGTTGGCCATCCAAATTGTTCTAGAAACACTTGTTGTACAATAAGCAAATGTCACCATTATTCTTCTCTATTCTCTCTTGCCTCCTTCTTCTGACTCAGAAACAAATTCCTTTTAGGTGAATCACCATCATTCAAACGCAGAGACGTCGGTACAGTCCGAGTCCGCAATAACGATGCCACTTATTCGATAATCTACGGCGATCCTCACAAAAACTTCCACATAAACGAGCACACAGGCAAAATATCAACAGCAAAAAAAATCGATCGCGAACAAAGCATCAGCTACAGCTTGACTGTAGTCGCTAGGGCTCGTTTGAGCTACGGCAAAACGAATGTCAACATTTTCGTCCAAGATTTGAACGACAACAAGCCCACATTTCAGAAATACAAAGACGAAATTCGATTAGACGAGAATGCCGCTGTAGGCCACGAAGTTTACTTGGCAAGAGCTAGAGACTTGGACTCGGGAATAAATAGTCGGATTTCGTATGCGCTCAGCTACAACCCGGAAGAACAGTTTCGGATTTCCGAAGCCACAGGGGTTATTTATTTGAACAAACCTATAAGGGCCGAGCCGAATAGTGTTTTGCATGTGGAAGTGAGTGCTACTGATAGTGGGACACCAGAACTATCTTCTAAGTTGAATGTGGATGTTAGTATAGCTGATGTTAATGATCATACGCCTGTTTTTGATCATACTTCTTATGAAACTTCTTTGCTGGAAAGTACCCCAGTCAATGAAAGGTTTTTCGCTTTGGCTGCCTCTGATGCTGATTTGGATTTGAATGGCAGGATTACTTATGAGATTACTGAAGGCAATGGAGAGCAAAAGTTTGGAGTAAGATATATATATTTTTTTTTTTTTAAATATTCTAATATAATATTTTTAAATATTATAGGTATTTCCTGATGGGTTTCTTTATTTGAGAAAAGCCTTGGATAGAGAGGAAAAAGACTATTATTCCTTAACAGTAATGGCCACAGATATAGGCAACCCTTCAAGATTTTCAGTGGTTCCTGTAGTGGTGCATGTAATCGATGAAAATGATAATGCACCACAATTTTCTAATACAACTTTCACTTTCCAAGTACAAGAAAATCAACCTATTGATTCTTTTGTAGGAAAACTTACAGCGAATGATGAAGATATTGGTAAGAGCTCATTAAACTATTTATTAAGTGTAGTCATTAATTTTTTTTTTTAGGTCGTAATGCTGAACTCATTTTCTCTCTATCTCCACTCCAAACGGATTTCGTCATCGACCCAAAAAATGGCTTCATAAGAACCTTGAGGATATTTGATAGGGAGGCCTTGGTTAAAACCCAAGGCTACAGTTTTATAACCTTAGAAGCCACGGTGGCCGATAACGGTTCTCCGAAGCTGAAAGACAAAGTTAAAGTCAACGTTTACGTGATCGATGAGAACGATAACGCCCCGAAATTTCTGCGCACGCCCTATAAAGTACAAGTTTCCGAAGGGAGCAGCTTGGGCGCTCAAGTATTGAGGCTGTTTACTTTGGATATTGACGAGGGGTTGAATGGGGATGTGTTTTATTCGATTATCGGAGGGAATGAGGATAGGAGGTTTGATATTGAGGAGGCAACAGGTAAATGATCATTTCTCAACTATTTGTTTTTATTTTATTTTGTTTACAAATGCGGTAAATAAGTGGGTCTATGTCAATTCGTCGTGAATTCAATACGTTGTAAAGTCAATTCCTCGTAACGTTAATTCGTCGTAGGTATACGTCTATTCGTTGTATTGTTATTTCGTCGTATAGGCGTCAATTTGTCGTATTTCAGGTATAATGTTAAAATGTATAAATTAACACTTATTAAACTTACCGATAATAACCCCGTTAGTTTGGGTTAGTTTTGATATGGTATATTATTAGGTGACGGATATTCATCCTTTTGAATGTGACACTTGTAAAGTAAAATTTAAACGAAATGACGTTTTGAAGAGGCACATGTTAACACTCTTGGATATCGATCCTTTTGAATGTGACACTTGCAAAGTAAAATTCAAACAAAAAGGCGATTTGAAGAGGCATATGTTAACACACTCGGATATTCAGGTCTATAAACTTAGCAGTCCCAAGGTGGAAAAAAACTTCGGGAACTATGTAATAATTAGGTGCTTTTTAGGTGCTAATTAGGGCCTCTAATTAAAAATTAGGTGCTCCTTCAGTTTTTGAGAAAATCAAAAAAAACTAATGGATTGCTAGGTTTATGAAAGCTAGTAGTCCCCTATAGTGAAAAATATTTTTTTCAAATTTCTTCTTTGTATCAGAATTAGGTGCTTTTTAGGTGCTCCTAAATAGTCCAAGAAAAAATAAAATTGAATAATTATTAACTGAGTTACAGATTTTTTTTTTAATTATTAGGGGACTGTTGGTTTTACGTCTACTTGTTGGTGTGTTAGAATGGCAAAAAAACTTCGGGATCTATATAATAATTAGGTGCTTTTTAGGTGCTAATAGGGCCTCTAATTAAAAATTAGGTGCTCCTCTAGTTTTTGAGAAAATCAAAAAAAACTAAGGGATTGCTAGGTTTATGAAAGCTAGTAGTCCCCTATAGTGAAAAATATTTTTTTCAAATTTCTTCTTTGTATCAGAATTAGGTGCTTTTTAGGTGCTCCTAAATAGTCCAAGAAAAAATAAAATTGAATAATTATTAACTGAGTTACAGATTTTTTTTTTAATTATTAGGGGACTGTTGGTTTTACGTCTATTTGTTGGTGTGTTAGAATGGCAAAAAAACTTCGGGATCTATATAATAATTAGGTGCTTTTTAGGTGCTAATAGGGCCTCTAATTAAAAATTAGGTGCTCCTCTAGTTTTTGAGAAAATCAAAAAAAACTAAGGGATTGCTAGGTTTATGAAAGCTAGTAGTCCCCTATAGTGAAAAATATTTTTTTCAAATTTCTTCTTTGTATCAGAATTAGGTTCTTTTTAGGTGCTCCTAAATAGTCGAAGAAAAAATAGAATTGAATAATTATTAACTGAGTTACAGATTTTTTTTTTAATTATTAGGGAACTGCTGGCTTTACGTCTACTTGTTGGTGTGTTAGAATGACAAAAAAACTTCGGGATCTATACAGGGTGTCATGAAAGGTTTGTTACAAACTTCTAGGAGTTCTAGGGATGGTAGATCTCATAAAAATAAACTCTTTTTTATAATAAACATATGTTCGGAAATGTTTCGTTTTCTAGATACAGGGTGTTAAACTTTGTTAAAAAATTTAATTTTTTTAATAATTCTCAGAAATGCGTTGGACGAATTTGATGAAATTTTCAGTTTGTTGACACCCTCATAGGGTATCTTTTGGACTGCTCATAGTTGACCAAGTAATTTCAGGGGCGTGCCCACAGGCCATTTCGGAAGTTTTTTTTGCATAAAAACATCGTTCAGTACGTTTTTTTTTATTTGGGATAAGTTTTCTTGGATAAAACAATCAAAAATATAACTTTTTTGTATCTTCATTTTTTTTTCGCATGTTGCTTCTTTTTGGAGATAAAATTGAAAAACCATTTTGGTCGAATCACGAACATTACTGACTTCCATAAATAAAGAATACATTGATTCAGAATTATCTGAAATTTTCCAACATCTTTACTGAAAAATAAAAAAAAAAAACAAGGAGCTTTTTTTTCTAAAACGCACACTGGAGTATCATAAAGGGATTGTTATCAAAATTTTAATTGTAGTAGATCTTGGAAGTTTCACTGTAAGTTGTAGGAAACATAAACTTTTAAATTTAAACATCTGTAATAAAATAAATCAAGAAAAAACAACTACAAAATAGCTATTTACCTAACAAGTGCGGAAAATGAATTTTTCCGCAAGTGTTAGGTACAATATTTTTCCTACAGGCGTAAAAATGTAAAATTTTTCTTTTATGTTTTGACAGATCAGTGCGGTAAAAAATTTTCCGCACTGACAGCCGTGCGGAAAAACTTTTTCCGCACTGATATGCGTGATACTTTCCCGCACGAAAAAGCAGTTAGACGAACGACGCGAAGCGGAGTTCGGATAAGCTTTGAGTGCGGGAAAGTCACTTTGCGCAAGTGTTAGGAACAATATTTTTTCTACAAGTATCTTAAAAAAGTAGACTTTGAATTGTTAAAATATTAGAAAAATCAATCAAATCAAAATCTTCAAAAATTGTTTAAAATCTATTGGAATTCCTCAGAATGTCTTTTAAATTAAATCCCCAAATATCTTTTCACATCTTCTTGAATTTCTAGAATCAGCAAGAATATTTTCATGAGAGTCTCTTAAATATCAAAAATTTTACAAATTCTTAGCATTACAGGCTGGTCCAATTTGGACTCCTTTGATAGGAAACATCATGTTAACTAAGCGTTAATTTCAACTAAAACCCTTCATTTTGAATATTAGTTTATTCAGAAACCATCAAAACATTGAAAAATCAAGTATAACTATGGTAATTATGCGTAACAAAAATGAGGGCGCAAAGAGTTTTCGTGCGCAAAATTCAACTTTGCGCACGCAAATGAGTGTGCAAAGTGATAAATTTGCGCACGCAAGTAGAAAAAAAAAATCCGCACCGTGCGGGAAAACTCATTTTCCGCACGCATATCAGTGCGGAAAATCGATTTTTCCGCACGGCTGTAGGAAAAAGTCTTTTCTTGTCTAATTTTTTATGAAAAAAAAAAACTCAAGCGTGATGATGTGTTTACATTTTTGATATCGTAAATAAGCATGATCCAAGCTGCTACGACTGATCATGGTTCTCCCTTATTGTAGTCAATCTATCACAGAGCAACTGTGTATTGTTTGCCTAGCAATTCTGAGTCTAGGGAAGGAATTCGGACGTAAATGTGCGAGGTTGCCACGTTTAATTATAAAAAGGCGAAAATACTAGGCATGAAGTATGAAATATAGGTGATTCATTTGAAAATCAATTTTTAAACAGTTGCTATAATACTTACATTTTTTCTTTGCTTGTTCCTAAATTATTTAATTATTACAGAGATGCTTTTTGCATGTTTTTGTTTCCTACAATTTAAACTGAAACTTCTAAGATGTACCTCCCCTAAAATTTCGCATACTGTGACACTCCAGGGTGCGTTTTAGGATTTTGTTTCTTATTTTCAAGTAACAAATCGGCTGGTGAAATTTCAGCTAGTTCTGAGGCATTTTTTTAAATTTAAGGTCAGTGACGTTCGTGGTGCGCCTAAAATGGTTTTTCAGTTTTATCTCCAAGAAGAATCAACATACGAAAAAAATTGAAGAGACCAAAAAGTTGTATTTGTGTTTGTTTCATCCAAAAAACTAACTCCAATAAAAAATAAATTCACGGCGCGATGTTTTTTGTGCAAAATAACATCCGACATGACCTGTGGGCACGCCCCTGAAAATACTTGGTTAACTATGAGCAGTCCAAAAGATACCCTATGAAGGTGTCAACAAACTGTGAAAATTTCATCAAATTCGTCCAATGAATTTCTGAGAATTATTAAAAAAAATTACTTTTTTCCCCAAAGTACCTGTATGTACTTGGAAAACGAAACATTTCCGAACATATGTTTATTGAAAAAAACAATTTATTTTTATGAGATCTGCTATCCCTAGAAGTTTGTAACAAACCTTTCGTGACACCCTGTACAGGGTGTTCCGAAATTAATGCACCAAATTTTCATGGCATATTCTACGTCGAAAATAAACCCTAGTTTGCTATATAAATATATGTCCGGAAACGCTTCCTTTTCGAGATACAGGGTGTTGAAATTCTAAGAAAAAAACTATTTTTCTATCATAACTTTCAAACCACTCTAGATATTTCATTGAAATTTTGTACACTGCTTTCAAGCAGCAAAAGACATTTTTTGATATGAAATTATTTTTTAAAAAATTACCAGTGACGTTCACAAGAAAATTCGTAGTTTTATTTATTATTTCTACATAAATGTTGTAAGTTTGAAATATTTCTCTGAAAATGTATTGTAAAATTATACAAGCATATAAATTTACAATGTGCGGATAAATTTACAAATAGATGATGTCTCTGGATGTTCCAATTTCTTGTTATCTCCCAGCTATTACACCATAATCCTGAAAATTATAGTTTTGAAAAAATATGGAAAACACTTTTATGTAGGTATAACTTTTATTATGATAGACACTGGAAACACAAAAGCAAAAATAAAACAGTCTAAACTCCGTTATCACAAAAGAAAAATAAGAGAGGTGCATCCTATGGTCAACTATAAAAATCTATACTTAAATAAATAACATAACAAAGTTAACCTAATACTATAATATAGATATGAAGGTATTAAAAATTATAGATACAGGGTTTTCGTCAACACAAATATACAGACATTTGTTACAGGGTTTTCGTCAGAAAGATGATGTGAAAACTTTACAATAAATATTCAACTCGAAAAATTAATTGTAATATGTTTTAATATTGTCAATTCATATTTTTAATATTATCGTTATTTTGACTAGTTTAATGGTTTACTCATGACTGGTAGATGATGCAACTCACAACTGCCACCTCTTTTTGCTTAGGCTCATAAAGCAAAAAGAGGATAGGAGGGAAGGTTTGGTGACGCTATCTGAAAATGGTGATAATTGTAAAGT